CATCTATGAGGCCAAACAATATGCAGTGGTCTCTGCTGATCATCAATTCCTCGCAGAGTGTCACAGGTATTAAGAGTCAGATTTTGTTCATTTTCCCCACAATGAGAGCTTGAATCATCAGACCAGTTGGATTGTCTCAAGTCTGGCTCTTGCATCGATGAGTCATCCAGGTTTTCTTGTACAGTATCAAGGTCAAAGTGTTCATTATACTCTGAATTAAAATTCTCCAATAAATTCTCAGAATCTCCTTGCTCCTGTTGGGAAGGACAGGCCATGGATGGAGCAGAACCGCCATTTCCTTTAAGGCTGAGCATCCTCTTTAAATGGGTTATTTTGTGCTTGGGCATGAATCTGTTACAAAAAGGGAATGCAATATGCTTTTAGTGAAAAAAAAAAAAAAAAGTAAGATTTGTCCCTTACCTTCCCGTAAGGACATGATGATTATGTATAAAACTGAAAAAGATAAAACCAATATAAAAAAAAAATTTCTAGAAAAAGAGCAACAAGTATGTGCTACCAAGAAAAGATTCAAAGGTTTCAAACTGAACTAGACTGTATTTGAATGGTTTCCAAAGAGTTTCTGCGGCTATGAAACCTACACTGCCCATACATAAAATACAAGATCACAGAGACTGTTACTCCTCCGTCACTCTTCTTTCTGGATTTTCATTTTTTGTCTTCCAATCACCACATAGCTCAGCACTGGGTTTCAACTTGCTTGTTCATTGTCCTACATAAATGTTGGAAACTTCCTTGGTTAACTCTTGCCATTTCTGCTCACATTATTGTTCTGTATTCTTTACCACCTATGAGGCCAGACAATGTGCAGTGCTTGTACAGTATTACGGTAATACTATTGTTGTACAGTAAATACTATTAAACTGATCCTGACTGATATTTCTTGAAGTATATCTAATATCTTTTCCATTATCATTTCTCCTGCATCCCTCCAGAATGCTTTGTCTCGATTCAGAGTTCAATATCTGCTTATTGATAAAAGAATGTAAATAAAATGAAATCTTAAAAATTCTACTACAGCCTAACATCTGTGAGTCATACTTAACAAATACAGGATCTATCTCAAAGGGATCTCCATACAATGAGGAATAAACCAAGAATGCATGAACAGAGTTGGAGAGTGATGTGTGAATACCCAACTAACCTATGTTGGAACACACGAGATGCACAATGGACACTTCATTTTTTTTTTTTTTAACCTGAGGGGAACAGGAGATTCATCCTGAGTTGGGGGTCAGTAAAGGATTAAAAGGGATTTGACTGAAGGATTTTGCAAATTGGGGAAGTTCTGGATTGAGGGGCCAGTGGGATTAAAGGAAATTATGTGCAGGCACATGACTGTTCTGGAAATAATAGGCACCCTAAAAAGACTGGGCTGGAAGCCTGGGGAGGTAGGCCAGGTCAGGCAACCCAGGGCCCCCTCAGGCCCATGGGGAGATTGCTTCTCTTGGGTTGCTAAGTGAAGTCAAGGAGAATATGTGCATTTAGCAGCCAGGTCAGAAAGAAAAACCATAAAAAGAGACCAATAAGCAACATTTGGAAAAGCTGCAAGAGAATTTGGGAGTTATTATCACACTGTGGGAATGAATCAAGAGCGTTCAAAGAATGTATAAAAAGGTGTGTGAAATCCTTGAAGCATACTCCAGCAAGAATTCTGTCCCAGATCATGTGGCTACTCCAGGGGAGTCCCTGTGGAGTGGCATTGGCTGAAACCCTTCAAGATATTAGGGGTTTTATATGAAAGAGAGTCAGAGAAAGGGAATAAGGCAAGAAGGGTGGGGATGGCAAGGGTGAACTTTTTAAAATGGGATATGGGAACTTAGGGATATTCACTTTGGGGACATCTCTAGGGAAGGAAGCTTTTCTCTTTTGGGGAAGAGAAAGAAAAGCCTTGCAAGATGGAAGTAAAAAAATGTAATGTTTGTGGTTAATGGTATGTATGGGGAAATGTAGGGTCTTGTAAAAGAATAAACCTAGCTTTCTTGAAAGCTGGAGAAGAGAAAAATGATGCAAAGAAAGAAAGAGTTTCAGTTGGAAGCTGTAGAATGTCAGGTGTTCATCTGAAGTAAGGTGAATACAGGTAGAAATAGGGTTGAAGATGCCAGCTGAGATGAGTTACTGTGTTGATGAGAACAGGGTGTTAACTAGGGCTGAAAGGACTGCTGATGGGTAAGACTAGGGAACAGTGTGGAACCAGGTGAGGTGGACACAAAGTCATTGGCTGTATGTAGTATGCTATGTGCATTCCAGAATCAGAAAGCTTGCCTGGGGGTTTCTATGCTTGTTTTATAAAACACTTTTAATATCTATTCTGATTTCAAATCTTTGGAGAAAAATCATCTGAATACATACAAACCCTCAGCAATAGATGCTTGTATACAGATAAATAAAATACAAAAATGGCACTAATCTTAAATATGCCATAATAAAATAATAAATTCTTAATTTAAAATGGGAAGAATATTGGATGTGGGGCTGCATGCTCATAGTCCTAGATACTTGGGAGGCTGAGTCAAGAGGATTCCTTGAGCCTAGGAGTTTGAAGCTAATCTGGGCAATATAGTGAGACCTGGACTTAATAAAAAAATAAAAATTAAAAATAAAATCGATATTTACAGATTGCAGTTTATGATATCACAGGTCCAAAATTATTACGGGAGATTTCTTTCTGAAATAAATTAAAAATACTGAAAATATGGAAGGGGCACTGAAGAACTAAAAAGACAACCTCCCCAAGTTCTAATTGATTACCACAGTAAATTGAAAACAAACAAACAAACAAACAAACAAACAAAAAAAAACGACAATGACAACACCTTCACCTTCTGCCAAACAAACAGGACAAATGGTAAGAGAAGAAACATCTGTACATACCTGGAAAACAATGTGAAACAAGCAAAGTAACCTATTTGTTAGATAAAGAATGCCAAGCAAGCTTAAAATGGATGTTTAACAAAATTACAAAGTTAGTACACAAAGGATTCACAATGAAAAAAAAAAATCAATGGGCAGTGAGACAACATATCTTCATTTTAGAAAGCAGTACCATGACCCATCATACAAATCCATTTGTACTGGACAGCATATAAGCAAAACTGCAAATTAAGAGAGACCGGGGATTGGCTGAAGGGTTGTAAACAATGGAAACTGGAGACTGACAAGGAATCTAGCTGTGGGCAAGGTGATAGCCCTGCCTTTTTTTTTTTTTTACTTTTTAGCTCTGCTTTTATTCAACACGTTTCCTAAGTGTTCTCAAGGATGACAAGAATCCCACGTTAACACAGATTGCAGATGACTGACTTAATAGGTAGTAGTGAATGAGGACATGGAAGGATGTGGAATATAAATAGGAACAGGAATCAAAACAGCTTACAAATCCAATGACATTGAAAAAAATCAGAATAAACCTTGAAAGCAGGTAGGCCACAGGAAAAACACCACTTAGATCCTCCCCAAGTTTGACGAGCAAGTGCTGATTTCACTCAGCAAACTGATGCCCCTTGGTTCTGGATCCTGTTGAAGAGGAAAGGAAGACGGTGTCTGTAGAACAGAACACTGTGTGAATGCTGATTCCATCGGGGGCACCTGAGAACTGGATCTGTTTGAAAATTAGAGAGTTCTAGGAAGAGCAATAATGATGATTAAGGCAATGGAAGAATTGATTTATGAGGACAGATTAAAGGAGCTAAATATGAATAGCCTGGTGAAGTGACAACTAGAGGGGTATATAATAGGAGTCTCCAAGGAAAAAGAATAATTACTTAGCCTGGTACAAGGGGGTATAACTAGGAGTAATGAGATGAAATTAAGAATGGGAAAATTTAAGCTGAATTTCAAGAAAAACTCCCTGACGGTATAATTTATTAGCCCATGGAATTAATTCCCTATGGAAATAGTACGGCTAGGGAAACTTAATAATGGACTGGACAAAATACCAATAAATAATATAGATAACAATCCAGTACTTGAAAGAAGGTAGTTGCAAGCTATGTTTCCCTTGTTTATAGTATCTTTTCATATTTTTCTTTAATACTCTACTTATGATAGTGATTGTCACCAAAAAAAAAGTATTTAGGCAATTAGCTCAATCTAACAGGATATCTCCTTTAGTTGTGGGAAGTTAAAAACACTTCAGTTTTCATATACTCCACAGCAACAATGAAGACGGAAACCGAAGCAGTTTATTTAGTTACTTTATTTCAATAGAACTGGCCTTGAAGGAGGCTGGACAAATGTATTAATATTTCTAAAAACAAAACAACCCTCATTCAACATCCCACACAAAGTCTATTCTGATCCTCTGTTCCATGAAACTCATATTTTCATAGACATGTTTAATATAAACAATTTATTGCCATAATAGAAATAAAAAAAACTTTATTTCGGCTTTTCTAAATGTAGCTCTATGGTCAATTACTTCGCATCAATACCAAGATCAAATAGGCATAATGCTAACAAGCAGTTTGCTTAATAATAGTCACCACACTAATTAACCCATCCAGAACATTTTTAATCAGACACTATTTATAATGTACAGTTAAGAGAAGCTTGGCAATAAACTGTTCTCTGCTAAAAAAGAAAATCACACCTAAGTGATGAGGTGAAAGCTGGCTTTTCTACAGAACTGGACAGAATGATAGCACTGTCCTGGCATTAACTCAGTGAAGTGCCTATGCAGTAGGCACATGTCTGAATACTTCTGCCTCCCCCAGCTCCAACTCTGGTGGGTGTGCTAATGAGAAGGGAAAAGGGCTGGAGTAAGGATTATAGAGTGACAAGAGAAAGGAAAGCAGTGGGTTGCTTTTTAGGGACAATGTCACCTGTGCCATTCACCAATTCCCTACTTTTCTTAAAGAAACATTACTGCCCATTTTATTCTTAGAGCACCTCTTCCAGTTTCTGAGCCTCTCGAAAGCACTATTAGAACCTGTTTCAACTTTTGGAACCATTCTGATTACCAAAATTCATTTCCAATCTAATACTACCCAGGAGACCTCACCTCCAACTTTTTCCAAACAATAGCCAATATAATAAACAGAAAGACGCTCCCTTCTGCCAGGTGGAGAGGTTTCCTTTCAGATGCTTCCTCACAACTGATGGTCCAGAGATACTTCCACAAGCCCCCAGCAGTGTGTTGGCAATGTTTAAGGGCACAGCTGGGCCAGGCACAGTGGCACACACCTGTTATCCTAGCTACTTGGGAGGCTAAATCTCCTGCTTCTGTACATTCAATAAATATTTATTGAATATTTATGGCACATGAAACCTCTCCAAAGAGTGTCCATAAAGGATACTTTGGAAAGTGCTACCTGAGATTGGAGGAGGTGCAGGTT